ATGCCAATACGCTAACTCCGAAGGGGTGGGATTCTTGATGATCCTAGGTGTGGCATTGAATTGAAGACGACTCGTGTATTGCTGTGCACCTTAAACTATTGCTTTAGAAGCGCTCTTGTGATTAATCGTATCTTAATTAATCCCCTGTTAGCGTAGACATAAAAATCTCATGATGAATAGTATCATAATAAGATAAAACACATGACACTGAATAGAAAACTTTGTGGAAATGGGAGTTTTTCGCCTCTTCAACCTCTAAGCTATGTCGTCTACTAGCTGAGGTACACGATTGTTTGAAGATCTTTCTCGCTAAACAAACTTCTCTCTTAGACACTCAACAATTACTCGTAAGGTTAAATCTCTTTGATTTCAGAAATATGTTTGATTTTCAAAAAGCCATTTTATTTACGTTTCAAGAGCGGAAATAAAATTATGTTTTACATTCAGATTGCTTTACTTGCTCGGCTGAGACTTGTACATGGCTCTTCACCAAACTCTTGCTAATCATTACATAGCACAAATCTCAAAAATTTCGATCAATTTTTTGTAAGATCATCATAGAACGCTGTGGGATCGGAAAAAAGATTACATTTCACTCTCAAAATTCTTATCGTGTAGAAAAGTTATATATGCACGAAAATATATAACCATGTAGAGGAAATCATGAGTATCAGAGTAACACAATATCCAGAGGTTTTACATTCCAAATAGTGGGAAAAACCTAATTATATAACAAAATGATGCGCTTCTTGCAAGTTACTTTGTGCGATCGATCATCTGCCTTCCCTAAAGGGTTGAATAATACTTGGCAAGACAGAGTACTAGGCAGTGTAGGAGCGCAGCAACCTGTACGGCGACATATAGTCATATAACGGTGATAGTAGCTATCAACCTACATCCGATGATAAAACGCTCTTCAGGGAAACATTTAAAAAAATATCTTAAAAGGGAAAGATAGAAATGTTGTTCAAAGAAAATGGACTAAGAAAAAATTCGTAACGGTCCTTGATTATTGATTTAATTCCAATATTCGCGGTCATTTAATGACTATGAAAATTGACATCGGATAAATCTGTTTCTGACTTCGCTAGGTGAGTAAAAAACTTATCTATAAATTTTTTGAGATCGCTTGAATAGCCACGTCCAAATCCTTTGAAGGTAAAAAGTCCTACGGTAGCATTTTACCCACTCGAAGGTTTTAGAGTGTGCAGATACGACTGCGTTGTTTTCTATTCGCTGTGATAACGGTGAAATAAAGGCATGGAAACTTTCATTTTTTGCATGGAAGTGCCTTAAAAACGCTGGGTACTTGTGCATTGGAAGGTGACAAATAAAAGCCGATCTCTGCTGGACAGGAACTTTCATAAGAATGTTAGTGATAATACGAAAGCTTAGAGTTTTGGCTAGATCCCCACGTAGCCGGTTTTCTGAAAAGCCTTTTTTGAGATTGTCACAGAAGGAAACTCCTTGCGTTCCAGATGCGCATTCTTCTCGTCGGACAAAGCTCTTTCTTTAGACTATTGCTTGAAAATCGATGATCATCACGCCAGTTCACGTGGTCGTCTCACCTACCGACACGTGAATTGGCCAAAGACCCCTTTGCTCGCGTATGTGAACTCAACTTGTATTTCCTTCATTTTGCATTGCAGAGAGACGGCTTTTCCAGAAAACACAGCGTTGACTTCAGCAGATATTACACTATCGAAGATTACTATTAGTCTAAAGAAACAACTGTGACCCGCAAGAAATATACTCGTCCGAGGCATGGTCTTGTGTGGATTTACAGAGTTATTAAAAGATCTTTTTGAAAACCGGCGACGTGGAGCTGTAGCCAGAACTTTAAGCTTTCGAATGATATTAACACTCCTCTGAAAATTCTCTGTTCAGCTAATGAGATTGGTTTTTCATTTGTCTCCCCATAATGGACAAATATCAAACACTATTTGATTATACATTTTTTACATACATATTGTTTTGTATGATGTCTTTTATAAGATTTCGAAATTGACGACTTTTGCACCTGGAAAACACTATTTCGCGAGCATTATTTTGCACATTTATTAATCAAAATTAATTGAAATTGCTTTATTTCGGTATTTTTCAATTGCGCATTTTCTTGGAAACATTTTGGTATACAGCTTATCTATACTTGGTAAGATGGAGCTGTTGTGACAACAAATTCACTTTCTACTCATGCACAGAATGGCTCGTAAGGGAACGATGCTGAAGAAGCAGCGCACAATATTAATGGAGCTTGGAACGAGCACCATCTCTGAACAGGTACAGGCACTTTGTATACCTAAATGTTCGCAAGAAACAGCACAATTGAACGATACTAAGGCTATGCAATTTTATTGCGAAAATCATATTGAAAGACCAGAACGACACGAACTTTGCAAGATTGCTGCATGATAGCGCGTGACTTCATGTTGCAAGCCGATCGAAAGAGCTGAGGTGTGAGGCTTTTGGAAATTTTACCTTACCCGCCTTACTCTCCCGACATTGCATTTCAGATCACCACACTGCCAGATTCAAATGAGAAACTATCAAACTAAAAAAATGGCGTTTTTCTGGTACAAAAGTCGTCATCTTCGAAGTTCTATTAAAACCATCACATGAATTATTTTGCACATAAGAAGCATATAAATAAATAGAGTTTTTAGCGCACTTTTGAAGAGAAAAATGAATTCACATATCTTTATTTTTGCTTTTATTACAGCTAAAATAGGAAGGGAGGAGTCACATTTGTGCACCTATTAATATGCATTGCCTAATAAGCTTGCTGTGCACCTTCTAAAGGCTGCTCACTCACATCCTTCGCAAAAAGTTGGCAAAACATTGAATGTAAAATCAAGATGTCGGAGCAGATTAAATACAATCGATATTATCCATAGATTTGCTTAGCTCATTGTATTATTGCTAAAGTGTCACTCTCCTTTTCTGACTTCCATGAATGTGAAGGTTTTTGATGAATTTGCGGTGGAAGTAGATATGGATACTTTCAACAACCCTTGCTATCTACTGATTGCAAACTATTCCTCATGAGCTGCTCAACAAGAGCGCAACCAGAGTTCAAACATTCCAGCTGCTCATACATCAACATGAATTTGAAGACACAGATCTGACATAACGGAAGCTACCAAAACCTTGAGAACCGATCTTCAGACACATGACTTTCGCTTAACTGTTGTACTGTTATAATATCAAAAAATGACCTCGTCCATTTCCACGACGCGTCTTAATCAGTGTAATGGTATTCATAAGAACCAACTACTAACTCAACATAAATGATATATTTGTATCAGCCATGTATAACTAAGTCAAAAGTGAGACTGAGATATAATCTCATGTTAGAGTCAAGGTCATAAGAAAACGAGCTGTTCGTGAACAACAAAAAATACTCGACTCTTCTTCTGTCTTGCAAAAATTAGGCTCCGCAATTGTAATCCAATAATTCCCCTTCCACTCCTACGCGTTCTCCTTCCTACTCTGTAGGGTGGCTAGTGAGGCGTGTGGTACTGAAGAGGCGAGCGAGATCGCCGAAACGTAAGTATACCACTTAGCTTAACAAAACCTTGAAAACCTCTCTGAATATATCAGCAATTACTATTTCATCTCCATGAAGCGTACATAATGAAGGAACATCTAAAGCAGCCAGGAGTGCTTATAAGCATTTCTGAAATTATTAAATTCTAACCTACTGTAAATCTAAAAGTATAAAGCTTTCAGCGTTGATCAAGCTTTGAGGGATGCGCCATGCATTCGTTCCATTTTTTCAACTTCATTTAGGGTGTTTGAATGCGTATATGGTTTTCTTTAATGACTCGTAGTGGCCTATCTCTGCATCAAGTCAATGCTACTTATCCTCCTAGACAAGTCTGGGACCAGTTTCATAGCGATTTACGGATCCCGGAGAGGTGGATAGCTTGGTGAGCCATGAGCGCAAGTTCGAACCATCGACCTTGTGTGCGACTCAAAGCGCCTCTAGTCTCTGCGCCACATACAATAAGCTTTTTCTAGAAGGTCGAAATCGCGCTTGGCTAACGGAAAAGTGCCCATTTCATAATTGTTTATGACGATTTGAAGGTTATAACCAGAACTTTCTTCTTTTGCTCAACGTTAAAAATATTCAATGCTGGTCAATCTGTCTGGAGCATGTCTTGATTGGATTAGTACAATTCACTCATTTGCTTCATATTTTTAAGTAAAAAAAAGGCACTACTTAGCTTGAACAATGTGTTGCATTGATGTTGATTTTGGAATAATTGTGGGACTGCAAAAAGAACCAAAGCGAGATGGTACTAAGTACTGCCAAAAATTATGCGCCGTTAGTCGGTGAGTGATACTCATTAGGGAAAAAGATAATTGAAGAATGATTAGATGATTTAAGTGACCTCGACTGCATTTGTCGAGTCGTAATATGACCTTGAGAACGAGCATCACCACTACCAATGACAGCCGGTCCCATATGGTAACGGGACAATGTGTATTGGTAAACCAGCTGTATCAAAACATCTGGCACTTCCTTCCACGCTCAATACTGTCCGTGGGCAACCGTGCTAGCCGAAGATACACCACAAGGCCTCTATCGGGATAAACATTTGGTCGAATGATCAGAAACGATTCGACGACAAAGTTCCCGCTGTCACTGTGGATTTGGTGCCGTTAATGCATCTTAAATCCTATGTTGAATAGTTGTTTAATGCTTTTCAAAATTTTTTTGCGAGCTACAACGGTATAAGACATGGTAACACCGGCACCACCTATATAGATCAACAAAAAAAATGGTAGATGTGATTCACGATGGACTAAAAAGACTCTCGGAAATCTCAGAAAAAAATGCCCTCTCATCAATGGAGGTTGTAATGGCTCTCATTATTAAATAAGTCATGGAAGAAAAATACGAAGGGGTTTTTTTTTGAAATCTCCAGTATTTTTGGATTTTGCAGCGTTATGATGTTTCGTATATATCTAAGAGAATTGAGTGATGAGCAAAACACAGCCTCAGGCGCGAATCAAACTCCTCGTTTCATCTATACCAGGGACTCGTGCTATACCACTACACCATCGAGGCACACTTGTCCCACCACTCATTCTTCAACATCTCTATGTTAGCTATCAGCCACAAACCTTTAACAGGTTTGGTCGAGTACGCGATTTCGTTCAATAAATCCAATTGAGCTGGAAGTCACCGTTAGTTCTAATACTCCGAAATTCTAGTATTTTTACTCACTCAATTCTCTTAGGTTTATACGAAATTATTTTTCTTTGTTTGAGACGTGTAGTCAACTAGTAAAGACCCCTAAAACATGAGTAGTACGGAATATTCACAGACTGCTTATGATTCAAGCCGATACATAACGAATGAACAATGAAGCCTTTGGCGTCGATCAAACCCTGAAGAATATGACATGCATTTGACTTTATTCGTAGCTCCACAAACGAGGTGGATACTATATATCGCCCATAAAATAGTTTGACTCTGTGATATTATTCAAATCTTCCATGAGTAGTCTGCTACAACTTTAACGCCAAAGAGACGGATGTTTTGGCTTGTCTTTAACGCTCGATCTAATCAACGACTTTAATTAGTGTTCATTGCACGGCACCCAAGACTACTAGGCCTCGTTTACCTCTATGAAATGACAATAAATAAAATCAATTTATGCAAATAAAGTGGCAAGATTAATCAATTAATACTTATTTTACATTGTCCTATATGACGGCTTACTGTGTGGATCCCACCACATCTTCCATTCGATTTGTTTCCTCGCATTCAATCTCCACCTAGGACTTCGGATTATTCGGGTGTTGCTCTAGGTGCTCCTCGAGAATTTTGTCTTCTTTATGAATGACAAGTTTGATGGTCAAGACGAATCTCTTCGCAATCTTTAAAGTAGTCGACCTAAGGCGTTCCTAGGGCGTTTAGTTGATTGATTGTGAGAAGGTTCTGAAGCATGAGATCGAATTCACCATGTTTAGCACCTTGCTTTCTGATTCCACCGCGTCACTAACCACTGCGCTATCCTGCCTGTAAATAAAATATAAGATGAAACCTATAGTTCATAGATTGTAGTATTATTGGTTGATGAATGTAACTTAGAAGGATGAGAACAAGTGCTATGAAATCCACATTTGGAGAGAAACCAATTATTTTTTTGCCAAAAAGTTTTATTCTGCAAAATACCATCAAATTAGTTAAGGACGTTACAACTTCTCCAACACCTCCATCTGGAATTGTTGATGATATCTTTTCTGATGTTCATTGCTAACGTCACTTTGAATCATGAGTACAAATGGAAATATATAATTCTCTGTGAAAAATTGAACTTTGTTTCTGTCATCCTATCTATTACTTGTTCAATTCTCTCTCTTTCTGCTCTACTCTTCCTGGGTCCCTTGCTTGTTTTTTTCACCTTCCATGCGTAAATTTTTCTGAGGCGTTAAACATAAAGTTTGATATTGAATGGTGAAAATCGATTTTTTTGTCCTGATTTTTTGCCTATGTTGTTCATTCCGCTCTTACTTACACCCTACATTCATACTTGAGATGACATATTTCTCGTAATTATGTCTCTTTTATCCATCTCTTCTTTCACAGTCAGTCACTCCATCATAGTCGCTTTATGACACTGCGACTGCTAAAACTGCTATTAATTGGGGTTATTCCACCAAATTTTAATCTTTTAGAGTGTTTCAAGTTTTTGTTAAGCGATGTCAGTGGACGTTTTTTAACGTTCAGCACATTTTTCATAACCACCATAAAGGTCACACTAGTATGTTTGGTGGCGATATGTATGCACTTTCTTTAGTAAAAGTGCAAAACGAGATCATAAAGCCGATAAAAATTTGCAAAAAATGAAGCGGAGACAAGAATGTCAATGAGGCACTGCCGACTATCGACACAATGTACACTTTATCGCGAAACAAAGAGAAAATTTGAAGTAAAAAAAAATTCTTTTCAACACTTCGTGCTACAGGCTTAATCAACAAGGACAATACGATTGATTGATTATGCCGAGCTTAAAAGAAACTCGGTTTGTCATTTTTTAAGCGCTCCATGCAAGACGGTGATAATTCCGAATTCTGCATTGATCGTCCGGCGAAAACAAGTGTGTTGTGACTATCAGCTGGTGATTAGGTAAGTAGCAAAACAGGTAGCTAATTAGGATAGGCTTCATCGTGAGTATAGCGAGGTCGTCGAGTGAGATTCTTCATTCAAGCGATGCTCCACTAAAGAAGTCCTCAAAGTCCTCAAAGTCCTTAAAGTTTTCTTTGAGCGATCGAAGGCGATGTACCACAACGAGACAAACGAGCACGATCGACTCGAACCACCGGCTCCAAGAAGACGAAACACGCAAAAATGTTAGCCGAATAAAATGAAATTTGTTGTTAACATCTCGTAATACAGGCTCAATCAATAAAGATAATGTGCAATGTTATGAACACCAATGCAGCATATTTCGTTGATGATAGGTCACAATTGATGACGAATATTCAAATAGTAGGAGTCATATTATGAAATTTCATACAATTGAGCGGGCTGGTGTGAGATTTCTCTATCTAGAAGTAAAAATTTTAGTGTCTAACTATTTGCCCATTTTCTGTCTATTGGACGTCTAAGCAATAGTTCAACACGATGGTGGAGTATAGCGACGGACTTCTTGCCAACAAGAGTTAAAAATATCAAAAAAGTGCATTGCGTGAAACAACGAAGTATGCTCTAACACAAGGTGGTTATGCTCATTTGACTCAGGTCAAATGGTCAACCATCATGAATTTTAGTCTAGAATTCTTGTGACTGATGAGCTTTCAAATAAACAAGAATTCTCCTTTGAACGCTAGAATGTCGACTCAGTACAACTCCAAAATTTACTCACATTCAGTTCCTGCCATCATATTGGATCTTTGCGAGGTTTTACAAGAAGCGAGAGTGATTTTTGATTTTGATTTACTCTCAGTTGGGTTTCCAGGTAGAAATATCTTTTCCTTTAAGTATACGATAGCGTAGATACTGAACTACCTACTTTTATGGCATTACGACTCCAAGAAACATCTCCTGAGAATTCCTCGAAAGTGATAAACTTGGATGTTGGCTGGCATGCGTCACCCTCGGTATGGTACCACTTTGGTAAAAGACGAGCTGACTTTGGAAGGCTAATTTTCATTGATCACCACTCGTGAAGGTTTTGAGCTCAGACTATCGGAGGCATTCAGACACAAAATTTACATCGCTGTGTGAATAACTCACTCGTTTTTGGAACAACCAGATTTTCCCACATGTCAAGGTAGCTTACCCTAAATAGGAACTGTCAAAGTTGGAAGAAAACTTCACATTTTTATTTGGAAGCCTACCTTAAAAAAATTATCCTAAAGCGGAGCCCTTAGGCCTTCTTATGACGCCTAAACACGAGGCGTTTTTCTCTCTATCAACCATCCATTGTCCGCTGAACAGCTCTGCTTTAGTGGCCAATGTTACGGGTTTTCTTCAAAAAGATGAAGTATGAAGAATTGCTCTAAAAGAGCAATACCACGATTTACGGAGAGTCCAAGTGGTTATAAGTCAGGACTGGAGTTTGTTAGTAGGGTACCGAATCTGTTAAACCGCATCGAACTCACAACTGAGTAAACTCTCTCAAGCCATAAGTGGGAGGACAATTTCCAGACTTTCAATATGACAAATAACTACTTTTGAGCCATGCATGTCATGTGGCCTGTTGGAAAAGGTCTGACTTATAGAGCCCAACACACGTGTTACGATCTTGCAGTCTCGTCAGAGTGACTGGAGCACCCACACAGGATTGGTGAAAGACGAGAAAGGATAACTGTTTGACTGACGAGAGTGCAAGGGCGAAACACGTGTATCGGGCTCTATAAGTCAGCCTTTTTTTAACAGACCACATGACATGCGTGGCTCAAAAATAATTATTTGGCATATTGAAATTGAGCAATGGTCTTCAGAAAACACTCGAAACGAAAGATATGATATATTGAATTTTGAGACTGTTCGAAAGTGCAAAGCAGAGAGGTAATTCTCAGAACTTATCACTGAGACAAAGCAGACTTTGGTTGTTCTTGAACTGTGAAACTACTAGTGATGGTTGGAAAAAGGATAGCGAAATTAAATGATAGTAATTTAGCAGTAAAGCAAAACGTCATCAACAGTAATTGCAGGAGGAAAACAGAAGCTGTAATGGAATATGGCGAGAGCACATGCCCGTATTAAATTTGTGCAAGATGCTTCTGTCCAATGCTAAAGTCATGTAGATGAAGTGCAAAGTTTTCAGAATCTTTCATATGAGAAATTACTGCTAAGCTACAATGGTAAAGGGAGGTGCGAGGTCAACATCTTCGTGAGCCAACTGGTTGATGTTTCGGGCTGAAACATGAATTTTGTTTTTGATTCCATTAGGGCCCCTTTTTTCTAAATAATTATCTTGAAAGGTGTAGGGAATTGGTAATTGTAATTGTTAGATTATCCAGTTAATCCTCTTCTCATCATGGATGCACCTAATAATTTACAATTCAACATGGGTAGCAGGTGTTTCTGCGTGTTAAAGTACGATGTGCATATAATGATTCTCTTGCACGATCATTTCTCATTCAAAGTGAAATGTATGTTAACATTTTCAAGCTCACGTAAATAAAGTTTGAGCCACGGAGACGCCAGCATGCTATTCGTGGCTCACTTCTTGCCAAAGGCCATAAAAATTACAGACCATGCAGAAAAGATAATGAATTTTGTAGCCCTGCTAGTTATTTTTGAGCCATGCATGGGGTCCGTTATGGACACTTTTACAGTGCAATACACGTGTTTCGGCCTAGCAGCCTCGTCAGTTGCACGGTATGATATTTCGGTAGGATATTTCACGACTACCAGCCAAGAGCAATCGATTGTAAAACACTGCCCGCTCGGTGATATTTATCACTACACAGTGCGCGTAAATTTTACGTCTACGGTTCCTATATGTATGGAGGTTCTCCCCAAGACGGATTGGCTCAGACAAGAAGCACCGTGCAACTGACGAGGCTGCAAGGCCGAAGCGCGTCTATTGCACTGTAAAGTGCCTATAA